CTATCCAGATTAACTACCAATCGCGCAAGCATTAACATGCAAGGAAACTTAAACACTGTTTTTATCAGTCTGTGAGTATTGCTTGCTAAAAGCAGTTCTAACAATTTCCAAAATTAAATTTATTTAGTAGCCGGATTTTTTTTTGAGTGCAGGTAAAATCATTATCATACGTAAGAATAAATAATGTCACTAATACACGCATAAGTGTGCTTGATTACGAGAAGCAAGGCCCTAGTCATGTCCAATCTCTCTAAATATGAAAAAAATATCAAGTATACGTAAAAATCCTAAACCTTTTTTCTCTCCACCAGTTGCTTTGCAAAACCAACTATTTCTAAAAAAGACTTAATGTGTCTTACATTAGACTTTTAATATTCTAGAATACGTCGTTGCTGTCTTCATTGTACTCAATACAAGGCAAATGAACTTGCAATTATCCAAGAGATACGAAGCCTTTAGAAATGGCATTGGTTGTAGTAAATATTACTGTTGCATTAACGCTATGCTATCAAGGAGCCTTCCTTTGTAAGTATTTAGACTGCAGCGAATACTTAGACTATAAAATAGTAAATTGCATTGTTTTATTTATTGCTAAATGAAAAATGAACTATTTCCTATATCGCCCCGACCTTCTACAATGGAAACATTGCAGTATAGTCTCTTCTTCAAAATTCAAACGATATAAAGGGCACAATCACAGGAACAAATCCTTATTATAAAGCTTTTCTACATTCACGTGAAAGAAACTGGAAAGACCTATCCGCAGAACTGCACCTTCTTTATTTACTTTCAAATGTCTTCTGAGTAGTAACACGTGGATAAAATGGCCCATGTTCTATACAGACATTAGACAAGTATTCTATGCACTGAACTGATTGCCCTTTTTAACGTGGTCACCGATTCAGACAAAACATAAAAACACACTACAGTGTCATTGTCAAACCACCATTTTTTTTTAAATCAAAATTGTTCTATCAAAATATTCACTAAACTTCCATGCGATATAGTCTCTTTAACATTCTAATAGCTAACTGAAATGTTACTATACTAAATCTACTCAAGGATGAAACAAATTTAAAGGCACATTATGACTCAGACATCAATGCATATCTTGTTGTTGTTGTTTTTTTTTTTTTTTTTTTTTTTTTTTTAAGGAAACGTCCAACATTTGTTTAATTATGTTGATATAATGGATTAAATGAACAAAAATCTACTTAACGGTATGTGGCTTAATGATAGCAGAATATTTACAAATTAAACTGTTGATAGCAATGCAAAATACTTAATTTTTATAAAATACCAATTACAAACGAGATATAAAGAACAAAAGAAAGCTGATTTATCAAGTTAGTCAATTAGTAATTTCTTGGTGACTGTAACATTACGAAAATAAAAACAAATTAAATAAGTAATCATATGATAGTATTTTTTAGGATCAATGGGCCTTTATGTGAATATATAAGCAACCTTATGTTCTAGGCGGTTCGAATTCGCTTCAATTTCATGAGTAATTAGTGCATTTTCTTACCGAATAGGTGCCGAAAATTTATATAATTCCTTAATAACCTTATAATTGTATTTATAATCTCTAGTTGAATATATCTATTATTATATTTGATTATATCTATTCTACAAAAATAGCTTCATGGTTTTGAAATAATTACATTAAGCTGGTTTAATGTATAAAAATAAAATACTACTGAAAGCTTTGGTTTTAGATAATTAGATAACGACGGTTTCTTAGTCGTTTTCCTTCTTTTTTTTCTACAAATATATCGCCTTGTATTTAAAAAGAGGTTTGACGATTGTGTGTCAGGAAACCAATATCTGATATTGCAATTATACCAGATAACTATACACATTTGTATATTTATAAAGCCCATTTAGAACTCGAATTTTTGTCACCAACACCTTTTGTATGGTATGTTGTAACCGTTTCCAAAGGCATTACTTGATGACTATTTTTGATAAACTATCGTTTTGTATAATTTTAAATTAGTATTGTTTATGGAATCCAATAACAATTGTCTTTACATGTTCAGAGTTACGGTTGTTCAAGATGTACATGCTCTAAATACATTATTAAACATAATTAAACAAGTAAACTTTTGATTAGAATCAAAAGATGGTAACTTACATTTGATAACTTTTTTTATCTAATATTTCTGTTTGAACGATAAGCACACAAAGATAAACATTTGAAACGTCAATATATAATCAATGGTGTTTTATCAGTCCGAATGTTTTATGAAAAATATTTTAAACATCATAAAATGTATACTCGTCAAACGCATAATACATGTATAAACAAAATAATTTACTTCAATCAGATGATGTTTAATGCTGTTTTGTTTTAAATTAGTACATTATGGTACATACATTCAAACATTAAGAAGCTAACTTGATCAACACTATTTCTCGACTCTCATTTGCAACACAAATATACCCGTTTGTTTTTGAATAAGGAAAAAGAAAACATTACAGGTCAGGTTATATTTATATTGCAGATATATCAGCTAGCTAAATGCAACAGTAAATCTAACAAATCTAACCATAGTGTATTTGTCGTCATTTACTTGATATTTAAATATCTCTTCTACAATCAATACTATGCTTCAACGATATGTGTCGTGGTAAATTATTGTCATTATGTAGACGTCCTTCATAGCTTAATGTAGAAATACATATACGAGGAGCTGTGTTATCAAATCAAACAGTGGTCAATACTTATTAAACGGAACGATATTTTGAAAGAGTCAAACACGTTTGATTTAATAACAGTCATTTATACTCAGAAATCAATGAAATTAATGTATTTTAGACATTTTACGCGAAGTCAATGATGTTTCGGGTAGGAAAATCAATTTATAAGAACAGGGAAAACACATTACAATTGTGTATATTCATGATAAATATTGTGTATTTAGCGGAATATCGTATACATATTACTGGTTTCATTCATCTTAACAATGAGTGATCACTTTGAATATATTGAATAATAATATATGTTTGAATTGTTGATACTTTGTAATTATGCGCAAACTGCAATACGAATGTTCACATAATGCCTATTTTCAAATTCAGTTACAATTTGGTATATGTTTTCGTTTCAACATAAATACTAAAAGAAAACAATATCAAAGTGTTCTTGACACAAAATACCAGCTTTAAGCAGTTTAAGGTGTTGACACATAAGATAAACCGTTTTAAATATTTTATTATTATATCTTTTAATGGAGACGATCATTTGAAATAATTAATTTTCAAATATTTAAGAAGCATTGCCTCTGATGCATAACATAAATCTCAGCGCAAGCATCCAAAAAAGTTACATTGAAATTTGTCAATCCATTTTATTGATCAATGAAATTCATATTCATGTTTGAATTTTTTTTCAAAATTAATGTAGATTATTTGATTGACGAAGTCAATTACAGAATAGAAATTTACCCTGCGATGCTTTTTGTTTAAACTCTCAATTATTTCATTGTGTCAGCATTTTGTCCTTGACCAGTATAGCTAGAAAATCATCATATCTAATTTTATTCAAATTTTAATGCTTCGTAAAACAATGTTCATTGAAACATTTTCTGAAAGCTAGCAAATGCATTGTCTACATTATTTCTCGGAAATGGACAGCCATTTGGCCTTTCTCTCACACACTTATATAGTTATGTGTTTAAGCAATAACTAATATAGCAGTTTCATAAAATAAAGATGTGAGGTGTATCTACTGTTATCAATACAAAACACTCACTATATAAAATTTCAGTTGCAGGTAAATTAATGTACGAGTACAATAATGAATATATCTGAATTCAAAATCAGTTTAAAATTTTCGTTTTTGCAATGTTTGCATATTTGTTGCTGTCGTACATAGCATTTATAATCCAATGTTAATGTTGAAGTGTTATAAATTCAGTTGCATGTAAATTAATGTACAATATTGGATATATCTGAATTCAAAATCGGTTAAAGTTAGCGTTTGTGCAACGTTTTAATATTTGTTGCGTTCGTACATAGCATTTTTAATCTTTGTTAATCTTGAAGTGTTCTACTTACCTTATGTTGATAAAGTGCAGGCAGATGAATCCATGCCTAATTACAAGTCATTGCAAATATATATATAATAAAAATATAAAACATGCTCCCAATGTCAAAAGCAAAAATAAAAGCGAATGTGCACAGCTATGAAAACACAAATATATTCCAAAGATTTGAAGAACACGTTGACTTTATGCCCATGTTATACTGGCGACTCTTTACTTGATGAAATAGAGTGAGAATCCTGCTTCATTTTAAGTGGTAATATAAGAATATAAAACCTTAAAGGTCAGAATAAGCTATACAATTTAACCTGTTAAATGTTTACGCAATGCACATTTCAGTGTTTTATGGTAATCATTATTTTATATTGATTGTACTAATTTTCTATCTCTCCCAATTTATTTTTCATACAAATAAAAAACAACGTAATTTTCGGGCGCATAAATTATTCGCGATATCAGATATAAGCAAATGAATAGCATCTAAAGGATTTTAAGAAACGTAGATCATCTAGACAAAAATCATATCGTTTATTCTATTTACGGTCAAGAGTTTTTTCTTAAACATTGACATGTAAACTATTTTATTTGCCTGCGTCTTTATCATAACGTTTGAACATTTGAACAGACAGCAACCAAAACAAAGTAGATGTTTATTTTTGTAATTGTAATATGATGAGTAACACCTTTTAGAAACTAGCTTAAACTTTCGGTATAAAAGCATAAAAAACACAAATAAATCTTTTGAACTGAATATTATGCGACAACTGTGCTAGTTTGTACTGGGTCATATGCAATCTATTCACATCGTCAATAGCATCACTTCTATAACGGTTTCAAATAAATTACAATTTAATATGATCACTTATATTAATCTGAAGGACTTAAAAGTGTAATGATATTGTCATTGAACCAGATAATGACCTTAAATTTAAAGTTTTATATCAGTACATAATAAACTGTTATCTATAGATACTGGTCAATGTACACAGTCACATTATCAGTTAATGATTGTTAAAACCTACCCGAACAGCAACCTAAAGGAATCGAATATACAGGTAAGGCAATTTAGATTAAATTACACTAAGTATTTTTGTTAATTATTTTTAGTTTATTGAATTAAGTTTTAACATCATTTTTTCAATCATATAATTTTCAAATGACAGTAACATTTTGCGACGACACCGGGAGTGTAGACACTAACGACAATTGATATCATATGTTTTTATCAAGGGGCGTCAGATACCGTAAAATATAGAATCATTCCGATCATTGTTTTTAAACCACTCGTCCCGTATAAAAATGGGTTCAAACCCCTTGGGGTCTTTGCATTGTTTCTTGTGATTAATCAATCCAGCAAGCTTAAGGGCCATCGGGGTTTTACTCATTCATTATACCCAAGGTACTTGTGTACTAACTTAGCTAAGATAATATAACTGTAAACGTATCAAAGTAAGTTCATTGGAATCATTTTCTATATAGTTAGAAAAGTCAGGGGTATAATATATCAGGTTTCTTTAATAAAATGAAAATAAAAAGAATTAAGTTCACTAATTTACTTGAATATTTTCTGTAATCAGAATATTGAATCAGGTAACATATGTAAAAATTCAAATTTAAGCATAGATATGATAATTCAACTTTAAGGACAATCTTTTCTTAAGTTGCAAATTATTCTCATTTCATCTTGTGTAACTTCAATGTTTGTGTAACTGTCGTTTCCTTAGTTAAATATTATGCCCATTTTTTTCATTTTTGATTCACTAATGGATATAAAATAATTTTAAAAGTACATACTACCATTTTGCTTTTGACAATAGAATTACTTCAATTTTCGTAAACAAAGAAATCTTTTAGTATCACTACAAAATAACATCTTAATAGTTGTTTTGCAGGCACGCTTATATTACTTAAATTTAAGCTTTCTATTCGGTATACTAGCTTAATGCCAGAAACATAAATGTTTCAATTAATAACAGATAATATAGAGGATATTTGTTTAGTTGAGTGTAAGATCGGAATATATTTCACCGAGTGATCGCCAAAAGGTATATTTCACGAGTGGCGCAGCCACGAGTGAAATATGAACTTTTGGTGTTCACAAGGTGAAATATATTTCAATCTTACAATAAACTAAACAAATTTTCTTTTTATTATATGCAAAGAAACGTTTTAAAAAGACATTTAACCTAATACTGAATGAAAAGCGCGCCAAATAATAATACAACGTGACGTCATTTACGACGTCACGTCATTAAGTTGGTACCGAGTACTGTGCACGCTGGTATTTCACTGAAACAACGTTAGGGGCTTAAATTTAAAGCAGTGAAATTATCAAAGTGGTAATTTCACTGTTTCAAACAGTGAAATTACCAGTTTTATATTACTGATATATTTCTATAAACCACCGAAAAGCATGTAATAAATACTTTACTTTTGTGTTTCAGATTATTTTCAAATATAACATTAATACCATATCATTTATACCATATCATGTACATATGTGTTTATATTAGTTCGGTTTTAAGGGAGTCAATTGATAAGTCTAACTGATAACTCAGATATAGTTTACTAGAAGATAACGATGTAACTATTAAATTGATACTATGAAATGTGTACAATATGTCTACTAGCATAAATAAAATTAAAAATAAAATGCAAAAATAAAACTGAGTAGATCAATTAAGTTTTCGTGTTTGATCAAAATGAAAGTCGTTCTAACTGTACATTTTATATATAGTTAATCGATGGAGATACTAGAGAAATTTTAATAGAGATACAAATTTATAGATTTGTTATCGTTTACAGACCGCTTTGCAGAATGACTTTATTAGACAACAGCACATGAACACATCTATTTATATTTATCAAAACTCACGACCTCTAAGATAGCATAATACGAGTGAGTACAACTGTATAAACTTTATGAAGATAGTCTTCGCTTTGTATATTGTGAAATAAGATATATACTCGTAGTTTAAAACACAGTTTTTCATCTATAAAGATTAGAACAAGCGATCTGATTTTACATACGTGTACATTAAATGTATGTATTAAAATAAATTTTATTAAATGCATTAACTATGTATCATTCAACGTTTTGTAAGATCTTTTATATTGATTGAACTGTTTGGTTTGATATTTTGGAGTCCAATTGCTTGCAAGAAGGTCATTTATTGGTAAATCGCTTCAGTAAGCAATATTAATAATTGCACTGGCTATCATAATTTGAAGATGCTGGAGATGCTAAAATCGTAATATATCTACGCAAGTCAATGAACTTTATCACGTTATCATTATTTGACCATACGAAATTAACCAAAGAAGAAACCAATTGCGCATGCATTAATGCCGGAAATCGTTAATGTTCTTTTTACCAGTTTTGCTTCTTAAAACTATTCTTAACACTTGTCAAAATCAACTTTCTATAAAAGCCAGAATGTTTGTGAATTTGAGTGAAGTAAGAATACATAAAGTCAATAACACACGCTGTCGTTAATCAGTTAAAGACAAAAACTGTGAATATACTCAGAAAATCTATTTTTAGAAAAAGTAAATATACTCTGATATTTACGTTTTTAACGAAAGTTAAATCTTAACCAAATGGAATAAGACATTTTAAAGCTTATAATAGATTTGATTATAATATGATCTTAGATATCTGCAATCGCATTGGTCCAAATAGTAGTGAACAGAACATTTTATTATGACAATATTCACCGGATGTTATATCATATTCATAAGCTGGATTGAATTTTTCCAAAATTACTCTAAAATAAGAAGGAGAATCATGTCCATTGGTCATATATTGTAGACTGTTTTTTTTTTAACTTGCACATCAAAAAAATGTGTATGTTTTGTTGTTATGACAATTATCTCGAATAAAATCATCATAGATAAAAATAACACTGCAATGACGAGTAAAACATTAACTGCCTTGGTTTACATAGCTTACGAGAAGTTGTTGTACGTCAGACATCATATTGTTTACGTGCGTCTTTTTCCCGCGCTACAATGAAAACAGGATGACGTTGTGGATTGTATTTCCGGTGAATGTCGCTTCATATAAATTCAATGGCGCATTAAACAATACTATTTGTTCCAATGAATGAATATACGTTTGTAATTCAACTCAAACTGCGGTACGAATAACGGCTAATTATTAATTTTGACACATGTTTTCAAATGTGTATCAATACAACATTTATATCAAATATAAATATACAAATTGTTCTTTAAATAGAGAACCAGCTTTTAAGTTTTGCTATAAATCGGATAAATGTCCTTTAATATGTAAAAATTATTCCTTTTATTTTAATTATTGGGATGATCTTCCGAAGTAATTCCTTCAAAAAATAATATGTAAACGATTAAGTCAAATAAAAATTTGTTTAGCACATAAATCAGAAAATATGCTTCTTAAATAAGCGTGAGTCATATACAATTCAATATCGTTCATATACATGTATGACTGTTTTACAAAAGAAATTTCTATTCATGGAGTCAATTACAGAATAGCAAATAGTCCCGTAACTTCACACATGAACAGCTGTTTTGTAAGCCCTCCATTACTTAATTGTGTTAAAATGTTTATGCAGAACGTTGTTTGATTTATGCTGTTGCTCATTTGTACCTGAACTAATACATCGAAGGCCGTATGTAATCCTTTGTAAGTAAGCAATCAAGCTTGAAATTAAAATCTACTGACTTGTTATATTCATATTTTGCATTTAACAAATAATTTAACCATGACTAACAAATAACAACGGGAATGTTACACTATGTATATCAGTAAATTTTTTGCACAAATCTATTCCATTTTACTAAATATAAATTCAAAACAATAGCTTTATACCATATGTATATAAGGAAAAGACAAACGAATTATGATATGTAATGTTCTCTTTATTTCATAAGTTCTTTGAGAATTCTGCCTTTGAGCAAATAATCATTAACTTACATACAGATATTCCTCAACGTACTTCCATGAAATTATTGGGGAATTCAGTTACATCATGGTTTTTAGATCAATTTAGCACTTATTTTATGACAGTATCAAAGATTGTTACTCATAAACATACACAATTAGTGATATGTTATCATAAAGGTATGTTTGTATATACAGAAAACAAAATATATACAAAAGATACAATATATATCAAGTTGTTTTTAAAGATGAACTATTTATGAATGCTGCTTTTTATTTTATGACTTATAGGAACGGTGTTGTTACAACATTATGGAAGTTCCTGGTCAAAAAGTGTCGAAGGACAAAGATGCAAAACTGTGTTGTTTATGTGAAGATTTTGACATAACAACATATGCGGATGGGTTTTGCGTAGAATGTGAAGTTTACTTTTGTAATTCATGTTTCGTGAAACACAAAGGACGTAAAATTAGTAGAAATCATTCCTTAGTAAGAGTCGATGATTCGAATCCAGTAACGGTAACGGTTGGTGATACGTATGAAACATGCCAAGAGCACAATGGAGAATTTGTGAAATTCTATTGTCCAAAGCACGACCAAGTTGGCTGTGCAGAATGCATTATTGTATATCATAATGGATGCAAGTTGGAACTCATTCGTAGCAAAGCTGCGGCATTTGAAAACAGTCAAGAATATATAAATTTTAGAAAGGAGATGAATAAATGCATGAAAGAGGCTGAAGACAGTCTATCATTAATAAAGAGCAACCGAAAACAGCTTACCGAGTTCTATGAGCAATTTGTTTGCGACGTGGAGGCATTCACATATCATGTAATTGAGCGTATAAATGAAATGAAAAAGAAGGTTCTGAATCAGGCAAATGACATAATGTTGAATGATAAGAGGAAAATGGAACATTTACAGAAGGATATCGACGATTTGAAAGCTGAATTGACACGACAAAACAATGTACTGGAGTCAAAAAATGACACTCCAAATAACCTCTTTGTAGCATCCCTACAAATAAAGCCAGAACTGAAAAAGACCCAGCAAAATATTGATAGTTTTAAAAACAAAAATATTGTGACTCACTATAAGTTCATGCAAGACAAAATTTTAGCCCAATCAATAACAGAAAGCAAGGTGATTGGGATGCTCGTTGAACAGCCGTTTGAACAGAGTAAGTTTTTTTTACCCATTATTGTCTTTTTATTATACATATCATATAAATAAAAAAGATACGTAAAACCAATTGCGTTACAGTTGCCAATGACCATCACTTGAACATATTTTAGTGATTGTTTGAGTATCATCTGGTACCTGTAACAATTAACTCTTTATGAAGTTTAGTTTAATGCTACACGTTGCTCAACTATTTTCATGTAAGAAATGATATTTAATTTACGAGATTACTTTAGTGTTATAATTATTCATTTAAGGTGAACATCATCAACACAAATTTAAACAAGCTAATTCAGCTGATGAAGAACAAGTTCAAGATTCTTTACCTCAGGTCAGTCAATTTATTAAAAAACTCCTTTGAGTAGTACGGTTCAAGAGATTTTCAAGTGATGACACATGCAAATCTTTAACTTACAAAACAAAAGAAAAAAATGGGGAAGATACAGCAGCAAAATATATAATGATAGATTGTTATGATAGCAACAAAACTTTAATGCACTGAAATATAACACAATTATTGACTTATTAGCGTCAGTTGAATGTCCATTAAACAAAATATCAAATATGCTTAATTGGACACGAAAATGTTTATGGGTACTGCCGAGACATAAGTCACACTGCAGCTCAAAATTAAATTACCGTTTTGTCCATAGAATGGACTATCAAAATGCTTAACAGTGTGATTGTTACTTATTAAATCCATGTTTAAATGTTATCTACTGAGGAAAATACACGTACATATTTTGCAATAAATGTGATATACTTTAAACAGTAGTACATTTTTAATATTTCTGTTCCTTAGATGCATAAGCCGATACAATAACCTATTTTTAGTTATACAAGGCATCCTGACATCTATGTAAGCGATATTAACATTGATACGAAAATCACAGAATAATTGCTTTATTTTATTTAACTTGATAATTACTTTTTTTTCCTAAAATCTCAGAATATTTACTAAGATGGACTCATGATCTTGGTAAAATAATTATGCATTAAATTTAATTCTGTTGTTCATGAAACAGATTAAAAATTGCCTGAAAAAACATACGTTAAATACAATTGTCTCATACATTCCTTTTGTATCAAGATCATTCAAAGAAATCATTCTAATAAGATGATGAATGAGGACAATTATCGACTTAATATCGTCTTTATTTATGATGTAGCAATCAGAAAGTAAAAACAGAAACAAACAGATTGGTAAGTTATATTTTCCAACATTGTTTAGTGAACACTTTTGATACTTTTGATAGGTAGTCATGTTTAAAAAATCACTTCACACACGAACTATAATAAAGTGATCATGTATATGCTTAATTATTCAGTTTGCTTAATATTCATATCAAAACGCACGGGGGATACTATATATGAGATTTCATAATTATCAAGTATTTTGAATTTACATTACTTACAGTGGTGTTTTCTTATATATAATCAATAATAGTCCTAACATCATAATACTGTTTTTTAATGTCAAGAGTATTCTTTATCTAATCTTGGGACGTCTCATTGTAATAGAGAAGGAAGTGACAAAAACCTGTACAAGAGAACATACGATGGAGGTCATAACGCACCAAAAGCTTCAAGTGAGTTATTTAATATATTAAATGTTTAAGGCAGAAATGTGCTTGATGAAATACAGTGACATCTTAAACTATTAGTTTTTATTCCAACATAATCACACATTTTTACGGCAATCAAACAACAACTGAAGCCAACCTTTTAATTTTGTGATTAATAAATGCAATATTAATATTTGTTTGCGTTTGTGTTTGAAATATGTTGTTGGCGATTGCGGTGTCATTTATAAAACGTATAGTTAGTTCTCCTACCAACAAGTCACCGATCATAAGGGCAGTTTATATTAACATAACATAACATAATCTTTATTTGGCATAAAATAGCATGAGCATACATATAGCCATATACTTTCAATATCATACGAAAAGGGATAAACGTGTTACAAACATTGTACAATATTTAACAATTTACAGAAGAATGGTACAAAACAACAATTAATACTGAACAGAATAGAACAATAATTTAACCTCTTAAAAGTTATATACTTTCAGTTTATTTTATTCTAAATATTTTGTAATTCTCTTTTTTGAAATGCAAAGTATAAATATTTTGATAGATTGATAATTTCTTTAGGGTTTCTACTTGTCATCAGTAATTCGAATTTTTTAATAGTAGGCCACCTACAAAAATATGGTTTTAGATACTGTTTCCTTAAGTTATAATAATTTGGGCAAATAAGGAGGAAATGAAACTCATTTTCAATTACATTCATAGTACATTTTTGGCATTTTCTTTCTTCCCTAGGCGTTCCTTGATGTCTACCTGTTTCAATGGCAAGATTATGTGCTGACAGTCTAAATTTTGTTAAAGCTATTCTGAATTTATTCGTATTTATAACACTTAAATATAAGTCTTGATTAAATTCATGTTTGAAAATACAATAGGAAGATAATCTACTTGAATTATTTATTTTTCTATACCAGTCTTGTTTATATATGTCCAAAATTCTGTTTTTTATAGAAATGAAATTATTTTGATTAGCAGTATGACTTAACCATAAATTAAACATCCCTATCTCCTGAAGAATAGATTTGATATGGTAGGCCCAATTTTTCCCTCTATATGAATTTTCGTTGTCAGCGTCAATTTTAAGTGTGTTGTACATTTGTTTAAGTAAACAATTTTCTTCGAGATTTATAATTTTTAGCCAATATTTAATAAGTATAATTTTTCTTTGAATTCTCATTGGATGTCGGCCAAGCTCTCCGTATAAACACTCTAAATTTGTTGACTTCCTAACATTAAGTACTTTTCGTAAAAATTTACAATGAACTAATTCAATATCCTTTGCTTCGTCATATCCAAATACTTCTGCCCCATAATTAAGAATAGAACTAACAAGACTGTCGAAAAGCTTGCATTTATCCACGACTTTTAATTCTAACTGATTGAATACAATAAATAGATTATGAAGAGCGTAAAGGGAATGTTGCGCAAGAGTTTTTTGGGTGCGATTCCAATGACCGTTCTTGAATAGAGTCACTCCTAAATATTTGAATTGTGTTACAATTTCTAATGACTCGTTATTTAGTCTGAAATCGTAAGAAGAATGTCTTCCTTGTTCAAAAATCATTATTTTTGTCTTTTTTGTATTGATTTTCATACCCCAATTGAAACAATAAAGTTGTAAATCATTGAGCATTGACTGTAAGGCTTCCGGTGTGTGCGCAAAAAATACTGCGTCATCTGCAAACAAAATAACAAAAAGTTTTATCTCATCGATGGTAAACAATCCTTCAATATTATTATTTATATTATTAACTAAATCATTTACGAAATAGAGAAAAAGTAAGCTAGAGCTGGGATCCCCTTGTTTTGCGCCTATGTTAGATTCGAAAAAGTTGGATACAGAGTTTTTGTATTTAATTGCCGCTTTCACAGACATGTACATACTTTGAATCGCCTTAACAAATCTAGAGCTGACATTTTCTTGGAAAAGTTTAATGAATATAAACGATCTTTCTAGCTTATCAAAACATTTTTCAAAATCGACAAATGCGGAGTATAGTTTCTTCCCCTGAGAGAGTGTTTTCGCAATAACAGAATTCAAAAGAAATATACAATCGGCTGTAGATTTACCTTTTTGGAAGCCGTATTGATTATCAATAATTTTTTGGTGCTTTTTGGACCATTCGGTTAAGCGATTTAGAAGAACTTGTGAGTAGATTTTTGAGATAATATTTATCAATGTAATACCCCTGTAATTTTTTGCATCCTCCTTATCTCCGCTCTTAAAGATTGGTACTATTATGCCTTCCCCCACGAGATTGGATATTCTCCACTGACATATATTTTATTGAAAAGTAAATGAAGTGTTGTTGATATTTCATCATATGAACATTTATACATTTCTGCCAAAAGAGAATCTATCCCGCTACTTTTATTATCATTTTGCGAAAAAACAGCTTTTCTGATTTCTTGCATTTCAATTTCTTTATCAAGATCTTCGTCATATATGTTATAGTTTATATCTGCAGAACGGCTGTTTGTTTCAGTACTGTATAAATTTTTAAAATGATCATAAAGCTCATTCATGTTTAAAGAATCTGCTTCTGACTGTTTCTTTGCGTATTGCTTTTTAACTTTGCTCCAAAATTTCTTTGGTTGATATTTCCCTAGTTTATTTAAGTTGTCTTTTTGTTGGAAATTGTATTTTCGCTTATTTATCTTCTTAACTTTTGTATAATTTGCTCTTTCAAAAATAAATTCCCTTTTAAATTGTTCATTTGATCTATTTTTTACAAATTTATTTCTTTTCTCTTTAAATTTTTGTCTAGCGTTATAGCACTCTTGATTAAACCAGGGCTGTTTAAGTTTATTTTTACAAGAATTATTGTGTTTACGCTTAACGCTAAAGACATTAGATGCACATTCGTGTAAAATTTCTGTAAACTTATCTGCAATAATATTAACATTTTCGTTGCTACAAATCTGTTCATTTACATCATCTAATATGTTCCTTTTTGATCGAAGAAGGTTTAAAAATGATTCCCTTTTATTTTCATCCCATTTAATAATGGTTTCACATTGTTCAGTTTGATTAGAGTTATCGTCAACTTTATTACAAGGAATATTAAAACTTAATCCGTTATGGTCGGAAAATTCGTTTGGTTCGGCGACTGAAAAGTCAGAAATGCAATTCAAATCATTCATGTGTATAAGTAGATAATCTACGACGCTTGATCCGTTAATTGAACAAAATGTACTTTCCCCAATATTGGCGTCCCTATGGAGCCTCCCATTACATATGATATACGATGTTGTTTGACAAAATTCAATTAAACGTCTACCTAGGCTGTCAATCAATTTATCTTTAGATACACGCGGAGGAATTTCAACATTACATGATAGTCCATTTTCTTGATCAATGTAGTTATCATACGATAATATTTCTAATTGATTTGAGGTTCTACTATTTAAATCTCCTAAAATAAAACATTTACCTAACAGATTATACTTTTCTAGACCAGATTCAATTTCATCAAAAAAGGAGAAATTGTCTGTGTTAATTACCGTGGAACTATTTGGTGTTATATAAGTACAGCACAAATACACGTCTTCATTAAAACAGAATAATTGTTTATCAACTTTAACCCATATTATTCCATTTTGAATAGTTTCAACAATTTTGATATGTTTATCTAAAATGTCTTTGTAATATATACTTATACCGCCGCTATAACGACCTTTTGTTGTATTTAATGATTTATTTCCAAAAAGATGAAAACTTTTATATCCATTGATATCCAAATTTAAATGGGTTTTGTCTGATATCCATGTCTCTTGTAAAAATATGATATCATAGTCACTTAATAATTCTATAAAATCTGAGTCCGAGATTTTTCGCGCTAATCCGTGTATATTCCACGATAACAGTTTTATATCATTCTCATGACACCACTAGTTTCTTCTATCGTGGCTATAAGTTTGTACTTTTCCGTTGATGAATCTCTGGAATGGTTTGTTGTTTAATAAAAGTTTATTTCCAATTATTTTTGTTGCGTGACCCTTCTTTCTTTCGTCGGCTGCGTTTTCCATAAGAATTTTCCGTGCGTCTCTATACATCTGGGGAGATTGTACACCGATCAATGATTAACATATGTTATGAAATAAATGTATAATGCTTATCAAAAGTCTTATATATATTCTATAACAAGATCTCTACTAATATTTAGACTTAAAATTTGTTAAATATGCACAAATACCTTCATGTTAAATGTAAATCACTGAAGATTACTGGAGCTTATTAAACGCTAGCAACTTTTGGCAATAAAAAAGTCATGAATTGTCGTTACAATCTTTAAATGATGTATTCCTCCAAAAAATATTCATACAAAGAGCAAAGGTTCTTTAGGCATATAACGCCATAAAATTAGCAGACCTGTGGGTCTGATACACACCACAGAAGCGAATGAGCGTTTCGTGAAGGTTTAATTTAAAGTATGCTTTATTTAAATATGGCTTATTTTAAATAACGCTACTAACGAGGGTTTTTTTAAATTAAATAATGCCACATATATAACTTTGCATGTTGATTGTTCAAATATAGATTTAGCAGTTGCTATTAAATTGTACTTAACCAATTAAATGTGTGTTTCATTTGCAGCCATTACTTGACAGAAAACTTGTTTGCAAAAATCTAAATATAGATGGCGAATGTGTCAGGTAGGTATACAACTTATTTGTAGATGATGACATTTTTCTTAAATCTTATATATCTTTCAAGGTTATCTAATGCAAATGCAAATAACGGTTAAAGGCTTTCATTTGACATAAAAAGATATTAAAATCTGACACATTTATTGATGTTGCGATTTAGAAATTTCACATGATTGTACACAAGTATGTTTAAAAGTGATATGAAAATGTATAATATATACGTTTGCTTATTATATAAGCTCTAGAAAAGAATATTATAATTTCGAGTTTTAAGTTTTATATCTATTCTAATCTTATTAAACATGAATAAGAAAACACACGGTAGTGCTACGTAAACACTAATATCAGGTTTCCATTACAAATTAAGTAAAATCGTCGTGAATAATTATTATAACAAGATAATACTCAGAACTTAAAATGATTTTTTTAAATTACTAATGTAGAATTTTCATCAAATAAAAATAAAGACTAAAAGTAAGTAAACGATATTTGATATACCAGCGAAAAAACATTGTTAAACACACAAAAGTCACAAACAGTTCAAATGCAAACAGAATAATTAACTGTTACAATTTTTTCCTAATGATTTGAAACAAATGTATGCAGTATAATAATACGTCTTCACATTTATTATTTCAGTTATGCCGCATACGGAAGTAATGATATTGGATTGTATGTGTTCAAGGAGAATGTGCGTGTGGGATCATTCTTTGAAATTGAGATATTAAGCATGGGTAAAAGTGGGTCGTTAGGTAAAAATAATATACTTATACTGGCTTGTAAAGTCAGTTTGTAGATATTTGATAAGTAATTGCAGTATTGCTGGTACCAATCAATGATTGCATCATTATGATTTAAATAGAACGGCATCTATACTATTGATGTATATGGTGTTCAAAAATATTAACATGACTGTAGCATATTTTATATAACGTGTTTCTCTTTCTTCAATGCTATGTCTAGCACGTTTTTCTTTAATTTAAATTATTGTTCATGACTTGGTCTTATTGAATAGAAATTTAGTACCATAAATGAAAAGTTAGATTAGTTTTTATTAACTCTTTTAATTTGAATTGGAAACGTTTGTTGTTTTATTTCCGTCACGTATAGGTTGAATAAAGAAATAGAATGTGTAGTAGATATTTATATTCTAGCTATTGGTGTAGTGCCAGATAACTTTTCTGACAATCTTCTACCGGGCGTAGGCGAAAATTCCTATGGATACCATTCAGACGGCAAGTATGTATCGACAACTTTATTGTCTAAATGATTGAATCAAAATAGTAGTATGAATATATACATCATTAAATTTGGATACGGGTTAATAAAAAAGAACTTTTATTTGCTTTTTTATCATATCGATAACCTTAAGAGCTATTTTAGAATTAAAATGCAATTCATGGACAAAAATAACATTATTTAGCAAACTGTAGTTTAACCTTCGCTGGAAAATGTTTCGTTTGCTTGCTTCATGACCAGATATTAAAGTATAAGACGTCAACCTAATTTGCATAATCTTTTAGCAGACTCTATGTTAAATGTGTCACTTGAGATGTATCCTAGTTACATACACTAGATTCTCCAGATGTAAAAACAATTATATGTGAAATTTGGTTCTCCACCATTCGGTTATTTCCCTCAGATATAGGAATATGCAATGAGTGTTTGTAATCGATAATTATAAATCATATATAAAATAGATTCGAAACAGTTATAATGAATTATGATAAAACATACTGCTGACAACAAATTAAAATTATGTTTTAATGAATATCGTGTTCCGTCATCTACCGATTAATACAACGAACGAACGGACGTTTTGCAAAGCGTTTAGTAAACGGAGAGTTTTTTGAAATTTTACAACCACAAATTATCAAATGTATGTTGTTAGTGTGAAATTTATATTATTATATTAAATGATTGAGTAAGGAAAGACAATAGGGACAATGCATCTGTAGTATAAGCATATTGTCTGTTTTATTATATTCGAATAATGTTCTACAAATAAATATAAAATAAAATATAATTAAAAATACGTTCGTACAGTATGTTTTCCATCCGCATCAAATATTCAATTTTGAAATGTTGTCTTTATTATAATACTTTCCACCGCATTATATCTTCCAAATTGAGTAAATACATGTACAAGATGAACACAGTAACGGTTTTGAGAAATGCGTAAATACAGTTAATTTACTGTTATCTGAATTCAGTCTTGAAACTAACCTGTTTATTCTGAAAAAGTCGAACCAGCAATTTCATATCATGCGAGGGATAATCCAGATTAAAGTACACGTTTGCTTGGAATGTTAAATATTTCGTCAAATCTTATACAAAATAACATCATCAAAAGTTTGAAAACGTCCAGCAAATGCTTACCAAATATTAGACAAAATAACAAGTCATTGAACAACTACATACAAAATAACATGGCCAATGTGATCTACCCGGCGAACATCGTTGCTCATTAAATAACGTCTTCATGTTTTAATTCAAATTGATTTTACTTATTTTCATTGGATTGTTTATATTGTTGGAAAAATAACTATACATCATTGCTGGTCATACAATGCAACATTCTTACTATTACTCTACATAGCTCCTAAATGTGTCAGAAACTTATTTCTAATGTCTTTTTCTTCATGTTTGAATTTATGGTAAATTAAACCCAAGACATGTCAGGAGAATACGGACTAATTTAAATATGTTGTATGCATTATACTAGTTTTATAGATTATTATTATGTAGTGTGAATCTTTTTGTTTATGGAAACCTTTAAAGAAATTTCAAATTCCATTAAAAAAATATCACAATTAATATTTTCGACACATTGTACACACTATATCTAGATTTGGTGTATTATTAAAATATTTTTGTTGTTGAAGATTAGAGGTATATACCGAGTTATATGATGTATCAGAATTACCTTAAGTGGCTTTTTTCAAACTGTTTAAAGACTTCCGATCTATGAAGCCTAATCGCTCAATCATTTTCCTGATCGTGTGTCGTTCGTGTGCAGCGAATCGAAAATTTGCGTCACTGTTGTCATATTCTGCCTGTCTTATACGGATCAATGCCCTTCATTACTGCCCTTTGTCGTCAGAAAACAGGTGTTCTATATAAGAGCGATGTTCACCGGATATTTCTTTTTGGTTCTATCAACCATATTAAGTGTTTATTGTGATGTTTGTACGATACAATTGCATCATTTAAATATTGTACGGATTTCACGCCAGAAACACTGGTAACACTGCACTATAAATACTGTTATTATAAAATTGCAACATTCAGATTACATTCACTTTTGATATAATAGCATCATCGAACCGATGAGGCTTTATTTTGCGCTTTTCTCATGTGTATTTTATCTTGACTTAATAAGATTTATTTAACTTACAAACTGTCGCAAAATATGTGTGTGCCACATATGTATTACTATGGTTATAGAACCGCATGGAACGCTTGCACATTGTACAAAATATAATATAGTTATGCCATATCGTCGTATTAATTGTATGTTCCATTTTTAATGTATGATTTACAAAATTTTAACTACCAATGTGTAGCTCAAAACTTTACGTCATTCTGAATCATCCATTGTTTACCCTATGATTAAAGGATATAAGTTATCTTTCAAATTATAACTGAAATAAAATGTATTTCTAGTTTGGTAAATTATAAAACGTAATAACGTACAAATGTGTGTAAATAATATAATTGTATAAAAAAGTTCATTATTTTGATCAATAATTTATGATAATATTGTAAAAACTATAGACAAATGTTCTACTTTGATGTCATTTAAATTATGATAACGTACACATCTTTGAAAATAGTATAAAAATGTGTTCTAGTTTGATACATTTAAAATTAGCAAACGTTCTAATCGTTGTAAAGACTATAATATATATTTAATTTGATGAAATATTATTAAAATATTTACTGGTTTAAGCCGTTTAAATCAAGCTCCGATACAGTTGAAGAAAACTTATAGTTACGTGATAGAATATATACAAAGAACGTAAGGTAGTACTTGTTTGCACACGACAACCACACCAAAAACAACAACAACAAGTATATACAAACAGCATCTTTGCATTATTTTTTTGTTGTGACTAAGAATTCATTACCCGCCGACACGCACACAATTATCAGTTACAATTGAAATAAGTTAACTGCTCAGATCTAAGTAGAATAAATTTTGACTAAATAACTTAATTTTAGTGTCTTATCTTTTATGATGAGTGTTTTGTAAATCCAGAAAGTGTGTTCTACCAACAAGCGACATGGTAACATGTACTTTACTCCTCCCATATCAAAAGTATCAATCAGTGTACACGACCTGTACATTAGAAAAGACTGTGGTATTTCACAATGAATGTGCCTGTCAAATTATGTGCATTATTAATGTATACCATTCTTTAAAAATGTATCTTTTATGTGTGCTTTACTGTTTAAAAGAGACTATATAATTGGTGAGTTGTATACATTTGGACTCACAGGTGCAAAATCTATATTTGACCCAATATACCTATTCTACAGCTCTATGCAAGTCCAATTGTAGCCAGTATTGCATTCAACAATTTATAGAAATTAACACATTAGAGTCGATGAATTATATCAAGATATTGTCTCTCCATTTAATTGATATTGCATTTTTTCTGCATAATTAAAAAGGTCAAGTCTGTTCGAATTATAGCCCTTGAATTTCTAGTTTGGTAAATTATAAAACGTAATAACGTACAAATGTGTGTAAATAAATTTACTATTATTATTTTTCATTATGTAGTAAATACTTTACAATCTTCTTCTTGAAAACTGCAAGGACTACGTCTTACGATATTTAACATGAAAAGTAGTCAGATGGCCGCCTTTTTTCTTACTTTCAACGATAAATGGCATTAAGGTAGTACACCCCTAATGCACTATCTCCACTTTGAAGAGTATTCAAATAGGCTAGAATCACTGTAAAGTGTATTGAAACTGAGGGGCGTGGGTTCGAACCCCAGAAGGGGCAACTTTTTTTTCTTTCTTTTTTTTTCTTTTTAACATTTTTTATTAATCTCCAAGATCCCTAATGGAAGAAAAAAGTGTTTCATTTTAATTATATAATTTTTGTAGGTATTTTTTTACTAAATAATGCCAAATTTAATAGCAAATATGATACCAGATATTTTCAAAGGTTAATAAAATAAAAACTACACGGTAAAAGTATTTTATATTTTGCAAGACCAACCAATATACATTTCAGAAAATTTAGGCAAACTTTGAAAACAGCCCCTCATTGTGGAAAATTTTAGGAATATTTTAAATAAGGCTTTTACACATGGAAATGGTGAAATAAGTGTTAAAAGTGGGTGGGGTAGGGTTACATTTTTATACATATTAAAAACATTTCGTTTAAAAACAATCATTTTGCTTGTTTAATTTGTTACCTAAATGTCATTATTTGTTTCTTAACAATGAGCATTAGGAAAACATTTTTCATAATGATGATATTATAGATTATTTAGAGTTTCCTCATTTCTGAAAAAAACCCTTCTAATGGCAAAGTTTAAGTTAAGAAAAATGTCCATAACTCATAAACCACACGGTAAATTTTGTTTAAATTTTGCATACAGGTGACATTTAAGGCATATAACTGTCCTATGTTGTCAATTTTACAGTTCCTTATAGTGACCATTAGGGGTGTACTACCTTAACACGATATCAGAAATAATATTTCGATACATCCAATTGTATGAATAACAGACAACTACAACATGTTTTATGAAGCGAATCGATTTATAAAACAGCGCTTTCATTATCTGAAACACGATTACTTCTAATAGCACAATCTCCAAAGAAATAATGTTTATTAATTAATGGCAAATTATTAACATGAAATAGAAACTAAGAAATGAGTTATTTAAACTCTAACTAAACATTTCAGTTACGTTTTGTAAAAGAACTGTAATCTCGATATATAGAATTGTAAGAGCGATCCACATGTTTACGTCTATTATTGAATATAAATATGATCTTGATTATATATTTTCCTTAAATATAATGAAGCGGTTTTCTGTTAATAACTTTTTAAAAAAGACTTATTTTAGATACAAATATCTCAGTAAATTATGTTTAATATACGAGGGTTGTTCACTATATAAGTGAGTCTGTGTTCATATCCTTTAAATGATCATTCAACGGTTATATGCAAAATATACTAACAAATTTAATTCATACCTGAATACAATCTGAAATATTACACTAATCCATAAAACAGTTTGAAAGTTTCGAATTTATAAGAAAGTCATGATTGCTCTATCACCCCCACACAACAATATGTTGCGGCGTCAGCGACGTCATTCGCGCAGTTAACGTCGCAATGATGTCTTATCACATTCATAGCTTTTTTAAATATGCCCCGAATGCCAGAGCGCTTCCAGACGGCAGACTGGGCGCCTATCTCGAGGTCATGCAGGTGAAGCCACGTCTCTTTTATCGTTATTATATTTTGGAGGAAGTCGCCACCCTCAACCCTTACTCGCCAGATAAACTTATTAGACGCGTCTATCTATCTCATAGTCTTTAAGAATACGGGTGCACCTATCATAAAGAAAAAATACGGCAATACATTATATTAAGACAGATATGTGATACTGTTTTTCATTATGTTATAACCCTTATGCAGTGTTAATTTACTGATAAAAATTGAAGCAGGAATTATAAGTGTTTTAAATCTAAATTAACGAATTCTTATGTGTCATTATACTTTTTTTTATCCAAACACAGATATTCTAGACTTTGAT